CGCCTCAGACACCAAGGTGATTTACTGTGTTTCAGTTTCTTTCTTGCTGACTGTTCACATCTTCAGACTACCTCTGAATATTTGCTAGTGATGAAGTAGAAGTTCAGCAGAACGTGGAGGTGGGCAAAACCAGATTTCTTCTTACTGAACCTCACAGTTTTCCCTGATTCATTTTGTGAAGGGTTTTAATTTCCTTCCAACAGCTACCAGACGATGACAGTGCTGCCAGACTTGCCAGTATTTGCATCTCTGGAAGCACTACTGATTATTGTGGCAAAGAAGAGTACCAGAGAATTTGTATTAGGACAGATGGGAATACTGACGGGTGAACGAGACTACAGCAATTCCACTGCTGCTTGGACAGCTGAGTGCAGTGCAGGTTGGGAGGAAAAACAAGGCATTAGCCTGCGGTCCTGCTGGCAGAGCTGCGTGGGTCAAACCAGAACCTGACAAGCAGAACTGGAGCGTTCAGGTGCTTCCTGCACTCAGATACCATACAGTGGTACAACAGAGACAGGCAGCCAAAGGTGTAGGCCAGCCAGAGCCTCCCCAGAGGGTCTTCTTTTTACCTTTATTTCATACTTGTACCAAAAAGTCTCTTAATTTCAATATACCTTCAATATGTGGTTCCGCACTGGCAGTTTAAATGATGTTATTCAGTGTATTGAGCTGAGAAATGTCCTGCTTGATTATCGAAGTAGTTTACTCATCTATATACTTCTTTATAAATGTTACATAAGCCAGTAAACAAAAATACAAACCCCACAGATACTTACTATGGGTGTGAGTGAGACTGTACCTGTCTGCATACTTTATAAAATAGACTTTTTGTAGAGAAATTATAGTTTATACGTCACACCAGAATATGGCCTACTATTAAAAATGCCTAGTGCCTATAATCAGGTGTAATTGGTTTGTGCGGTGCAGTCCTTAACTCATGGCTGATTTCCAGCATTGGCAATCTGAAAAACTAGTTGTTCTCTCTGTTTCATCACTGGTGTCTTAAGCCTCTGGTGTGTTCACACTCCTCAGGGATTTTTTCTGATGGTGTTGTAATTCAGATGTATCTTCTCTCTCTGTAAGACAGAGACCATATCTGCTAGAGCAATCCCAGTACATTTCATCGACAGGCACTGGTTGTGATGCTGATAGCTTCTGCTTACCAGTCAGAGTGCTGATATAACTCCCCCTCTTCTCTCTGGAGTACCCACCCTTGCTCTTTTTATCCTTAGATTCCTCTCCCAGTCTTACACCTTCAGCCTAAGTCCCTCTCTGTCTGTGAGATACTCATTCATTCTTGCTTTCCAAGATTTGAACACTGAAAGAGAACAGACCAAGCTCTTACAAGCTGCACTCCCCGTGTGCCAGGGTGAGCGGCTGCCGATGTGGCGTGGGGGAGAAGTTTGCCTGCAGGCTGCTGCAGTCAGTGCCCCAGGTCTCTTCTTGTCCTGTTGTCCCATGCACTACGTCCTCTGCATTTCATTTATTTTCTCTTCCCCGTCTCTTCCTGTGCTGTTTCCACAGTCTTTGTTTCCCATCACTGCCCAGGGTATAAAGTCTTTGCGCAGGGAAGGCATCTTTTTATTTCTGCATTGCATTTAATGCAGTGACTGTAGAGGTGCTGTGTAAACACTGGGGCAGGTTAAACAATACTGAAATGCACTGTATAATTAGTGTTGCAGGAACGGGCGATACAGAACTTAGTAGAGAAAGTATTTAACACAGAGCCTCATCCAGAAGCTCGTTAGAGCAATTACCCCCACAGGGCTAACAAGTGTCTGTTACTTGGACAGAGACTGGGGAGAGGCCGTCCCCCAAAGGGGAGCTGGAGCCGGTCCGGGGATCGCTTAGCCCCTGGCCCTCTGTGCTGATGCAGTCATGAAGATGTGACAAGCGACTTGGAGTTGAAAGCTTGGAGCACGAGAGGTGACACGTGAGCAGACAAGGCTTTCTGCAGAGCAAGGACCCAGGGCGAGAAACAAAGGTCCCATCTTTGCCGTGATTTTTGCCAAGAGAATAGCTCTGTGTGCTCAAGCTTTGGCTTGTCTCATGTTGTCATTCCAGAAACCTCTGAGCGGTTTCTTTCTTTAGAAATGGACACTAATTCAGACTCATCATATCCCCTGAAATACTCTTGTTAGAAGCCCTCACATCAGACCTCTGTGTAAGGTTAGTCGTCAAACCCCATCCCATATCTCGTTACAGAAAAAGACGAACAGAGCCGCATAATGAGGAGCAAAGATTGTAAGCACCACTTGCAGCCTGTCTGATAGGTACTGGTACCAGTGAAAAGGGACAGGCTGCAGCTCGAGTCTTTGCTTGCACAAGCAGCAAAATGCAGTTCTGTTCCTGAATGCGTTTGTAATTCCTTTCTCCGTGGTAATAAAATACCAGCATCTTTTTTTTTTTTCCTGGCTGTTTACTGTATCTTACTTTTAAAAAAATTCTCTCCCACATATTATTTGTCTCACCCTTTTATCCTCCTACATATTGCCAGCTGGTTCTTCCTGTTTGTCTTTTTTTTAAATCCATTTAGAGGTTCTTTATTTAGCATTTTCTCTGGGAATTGTTTTCCTCCACCAGAAGGGTGTGTCAAGTCCAGCAGAGCCTTGCTTTCAAAATTACTGCTTCAGTATTATTTGGGAAAACTTGTTGTTCTTGATTTTATCCTGTTAGTGCACATTCATAATAACTTAAAGGTGTTGTGTATTACATTATATTATATTATATTAGCACACACCTACTTTAATGAAAACTCGATTTTTGCTCAGAAGTCCCATTCAATAGAAGACCGCCAGTCAGACTGCCTTGGAACTCCTTCCCTGCACTCTGTCCGGCCTCCCTGAATGTCTCTTTCCTCATCACCTTCTATCTCATGTCTTAGCTTATGCTTCCTCCTCTGGTAGCAAGTGTCCCTTTCCACGGCATCAGCTGGTCCCTTTCCTGCATCTTCCTCCAGCTGCCCCTCCATCGCCATCCTGCAGCCACTGAATTCAGCAGGGCCAGCGCGGCAGATGGGAGCATTGCGGTTTTTCATTTTTCCCTTGTAATGATTGCTTTGTGGAAATAAAGGTAGATTTCTAACCAAAGGTGTATAAGAAATAGAACTATCTGCGTAACAATTTTTTGAATACTTGTACATTCATTTACTTGTAGAAATTATTTCTCAGGTTCAAGGCTGTGTCAGTAGTAGCAAAGTTTTATTAGAGACAAGCTTTGGTAGTTGTCAGATAACTGACAGCAAAAGAGATTAGCCCAAGTGAAGGGCAGTGATTGGATCAAAGCGGCGTCAGAGGATGAAGACAGCAGGCAGCGTGGGCGGCAGGAAGGCAGCCGTTCTGCAAAGTCCCGTCCGGCTGGTGCTATAAGCAGAACTCAGAACTGTCAGGTTATTTTTGCCTTGCTTTTTCGGAAGGGTTTGTTCTTCGAGAGACCTCCTCGGGGGGATGAGCAGTGGGGCTGGCAGGGAAGCTTTCTTGTCCGCAGTGACCTGCCAAGGGAGAGCAGGAAGCATGACTTTGTCAGCCTTTTGGCTTTCTCTTACATCCCCCTTGCTCTTGCACTGACCTTTCTTTTCCCTCTTCTCACTAGCTTGCTTCATTTTGTGTACTTGGTGAAAGACTCGTGACTGACTGATTCCCCCTGCCAGTTCCTCATTTTCATGTTGTGCTGAAGATCTTATTTAAACACATTTATTACTAGTAGCCCACTAGTGTCAAAAATCTTTTCTATGCATAGGTTTATAAATGTCCCATAGCTGCATCCCTCCCCACTGCTTTCTACCATAGCCCGATTAATCCATGTGCTCTACCACCAACAGTCACAACCACGGTCCTGCATGGCTGACACCCTGCTCTGCCTCTCTCCGGGGAAAAGAAACCATTTCCAGCCCTTGTTACCACCCAGAAAAGCCTGGAGAGCTCTCACCCTCCTCTCCCCCAGGTACACAGCAGGACTAAAGAAGCAACTCATGGTCACGCTGACAGGCTTCTAGAGGACCCCTCACCTTACACATCCTCAGCCAGGCTTAGGGCAGGCATGGCTGGCACAGGCTGGCTTTAAGCCCACCGCTTCTTCCAGCTGATGTGGCAGGGACTCCTCTTCCCCCTGGCCCTCTGTGGAAAGGAGACAGCTCTGGTAACCAAAGCCCCCACCATTCCCACCCTGGAGATCTGCCCCGTGACCTGGAGCTGCTTTAGCTGTGTCTCTTCAGTCACCGTTGGCCATTTCCCCTTCCAACTACCAGGGTCATTAAGAGCAACAATTAGCACATCCCTGATCTTGCCTATCTGTTGACAGCTATTGCTTTTCCATCTTGACACACTCAGGATTACCCGAGTCTCCACAAGCTCTGCCGGTGTCGTTTCATCTATTGCAACTGGCATTTTGGAACAAGAACTGATTTTTCATGTAACTGATTTAGGGCTGAAGAGTCCAGGAGAGCCCACCTCAGGGCACCACCATTAAAATACCTCTTTTTCCAAACTAATGGAGCAGGTGGGTGCTCAGGCCGGTTATGTGTATATGCAGCCATTTATGAGATTAGCAGCATGCCTCACTGTTTCAAAATCTCGGGCAGTGGGAGGCAGGGAAGAGCCAACTGCTTTGCATACAAATTAAATTTCCGAAAACTTTAATTAAAATTGTTGTGTGAAACTGAAAATGTTTAGACAATTTATTGTTTCAGTTAATTTAACTGCCACTCCCTAATCCTCTCTAGCTGTGGCAACGCCAATAAAACTCAGTTAAATGACAGTGTTCATAACAGACCTTGCCCAGCTCACAGTGAAAGCCACCCTTTAGCGACCTGCGATGCTGCCCCGTGCCCAAGCGGCTGGGACTGCTCTGGGGGCCTTTCCCGACTGCCTTCCCCGGCCCGAGACTGGGGAATGGTCTCTGGCTCACGCTCTGGACATTTATCAGAGCCAAATCCTCAAATGCCTCGTGGTTTGCTAATAGGCCCCGTCTGGTGACAGGTCAGTACTGGTTCCTCACCACAATGTTGCTTTTACCATTTGTATCATGAATTTTCGTATCCCATAAGTCAAAGCATAGAGGTTTTACTGTGCCCGGGTCTGTCTGTACTCTGCGTACATGATGTCGTGCTGTCCCCCCTCCAGCAGGCAGTGGTAGGTCTGAATCTCCTGCTCTAAGCGGCATTTGACATCCAGGAGGGTCTTGTATTCCTGGTTCTGGCACTCCATTTCTGCTCGTATTTCAGCCAGCCGCTGCTCCACGCAGGAGATCTGGCTCTGTAGCTCAGCCAGGTATTTGTTGTAGCGACATTCAGTTTCCGCTAAAGAGGATTCCAGGTTTTCTTTCTGAGAATGGAAACAACACAAAGGTACCTGGGTATGCCGCAAGCTTAGCCCATCTGGTTACAGGTACGACTCTGGTCATGCAGCTTTCTACAGAGAGCTGGGGAACCTGAGATGTGAATCGTAGTGGCATTACCTACCATGGTGAGCTGGGCTTGGACATTGATTTCCAAGGCCTGCAGCTGACGTCTCAGCTCAGTGACCTGTTTGTTGCTTGACTCGATCTCCTGGCTGCTTGTGATGACCTCCAGATTCACCTCCTCCGCCTGCAAAGTTAGAAAAAAGCCATCCTTTCCTCACCTCGCCACCACATCTCGTTGTGGCACGGGCTTCACCACACGGCTTGTGCAGGCCCTGCAGTGCCCCTGAGTATTGCCAAATCTGAACCCCCCCCATTTATTCCGTTTTGACCCTGTGACACCATGCAGTGGCCCCTCTGCCATGAACAGAAGAACACTGAAACTGGGAAGCACAATCAGATGCTGAGCACATCTGTGACACACTCGCTGATATTAAGACATGTCTAGTAAGTGTTCTTAATCTCGTTTTTCCCTGTTCCCCCAACAGGCAGAGCAGGGTACAGCTCTACACGTATACAGTACCTTGCAGGCATACCACTGCTCAGTCTCCTTGCGATTCCGCTCCATCAGCGTTTCGTACTGGCACCTCAGATCCTCCAGGATCTTCCTCAGGTCTGGGCCAGGGCAGGCATTGACCTCCACGCTCACGTCTCCGGTTGCCTGTTTCCTCAGACATTTCATTTCCTGCAGAGAATACGTGCACCGTATCAGTAATATCGACACCTGGGGGGCACTTCCCTTCTTCTTTCTTCTTAATTCTCTAAGAGTAAGGGGCAATCTAACCTCCTCGTGGTTCGTCTTGAGACAGCACATCTCTTCAGTCAAAGCCTCACACTGTAGCTGCAGGTCAGTCCTGCAGCTGGCCAGCTGATCCAGGACGGGCCGTAAGTTACCAATGTCTGCGTCCACATTTTGCCGGAGACCACATTCAGTCTCGTACCTTAAGCCACATGCAACAAAGAAAGGTCAGCATGTCAGTAAACCATGAGTTTGTGGGGAAACAATTAAGAGCCAACTTCTTTTGCTTCAGGCATGCAATGCTATGAATGTTGTCAATGATATCCACGCCTTTTACAGAGATCTGCACTTTAATACGGCAGCATGACAAGCAGAGGGTTAGGATTTCCCCATCCCCACCACTCACCTACCCTTCCATGGGCAGTGTGAACCCCTCAGTCCAGCAAGGACCGTACTCACTTCACTCTGAAGTCATCAGCAGTCATCCTGTTGTTATCAATATTCAGAAGGATTTTGTTAGTCTCCATGGCTGCACACAGGATCTGGAAAAGAAAGTGCAGGGGAGAGATTCAGGCTTGCGGCTTCCTCTGGCTGCAGAAGACTCTGGAGGAAACACCTACCTGGGGTAATGCAACCCTCTTATTTTGTAATGATTCCGTATATTGGGATTATTAATCAGTTAGTTGGCATTACAGTGGGGAAACCTGCGTGCCAGCTGGGTGGAGCAGGCTGTGCTGAAACTTCAGTTCTCTGTAAATGCAGTGTCCTTTTCCCTTGAACCGCCTGTTTCACATAAACTATTGCTTCGCCTGCACCTCCAGAGACATAGCTATTGCCTCTGCCATTTGACATTGGTCTATCCACATGTGAAAGCAAAGCCCAAAGAAATATTAGAATTTTTTTGAAAAACAAAGGTTTACCTGGTTTTGAAGGTCTTCAATTTCCTTATGAAAACAGCTGTAGTCCCGTGGTTCGCAGCTGGGCCCTACCTTGGCGTACCACTCCCTGATCTTGCACTCAAGGTCGGCGTTGTCTCCCTCCAGCAGTCGCACCTTGTCCAGGTAGGAGGCCAAGCGGTCATTGAGGTTCTGCATCGTCGCCTTTTCGTTGTTAGCAAATAAGATCCCATCACCGCAACCAGCACCGGCCCTGGTGAAGCCACCTCCAATGCCTCGAGCGCAGATGCCTCCACCGCTGAATCCAAGGGCAGAACAAGCCCTCTGGGTAGCTCCAAAGCTCCCACCAGTAGCACTGCCAGTGCTCAGCTGCTTCCCAAGTAATCCCTCGCTTAAACTGCCAACCGCACCACCTAAGTCATAGGCAGCGTGTCTTCCCGAGGAGGCGGAGGAGACCTTTCTTCCACTGCCAGCTGCAGAGCTGCCCGCGCTGCTCCTGCCTTGGGAACAGGTAGTAACGACCTGCCTGACGGCACAGCTCATAGTGAGAGCACGAGGATCCAACTCAGAGCCCAAGGCAAACTGCACAGATCTCTGCGTGATCCAGTTGTGATCCCTCTGTCCCCACAGTCCTCTATTTATACCGTTCCTCGTGGATGTTGCCACTGGAGAAGGGCTGTTTGTTCTTCCTCCTTGTGACCTGGCTAGTACCAATTTGTTTTTTCAGCTGGAAATATTTCCCCAAAGGCGTTTGTCTCCAGAAATCCCACAACAGAAAGATGCTTTGGTTAACAGAGGCATGTTTCAAAACTACATCAAAAATGTTACTTCCTGAATCATCAGGTCTGACTTGTGATGACAGCTAAACAACAGTGACACAAAAAACGACGATACCCGAGAGTGCCCGGGGAATGAAATGTCATAGCAATTATCCATCCCTGATGTGGGCGAGTCTAGCCGGAAAGTGAAAGTTGTGGGAAAGCCATCCGATCTGACGGAGCCTGTTCGACCCCTTCGTGAGCAGAAGCGAGGGTGCCCCCTCATTCAGCTGCCCTGCAGTCCCTGGGACCAGAGCCAGGAGACCACCCTGCAGCCAGTGCCCCGCAGCGAGGGTCCGTCCCATTCTGTGCGGCCATCAGCTGAGTGAGAACCTGCCACAATCTGGGTCATTAGACCTCGAAATGCACTGCCCTTGGAGAGAACAGAATATTGCACCTGAGTGCACCAGTGATTATTTGTTACTTCTCTTTCTCCTGCATGCATCAAAACATCTCCTTTCAGAGGGGAGGTCCCATGGTATTTGTTTTACTGCTTTTGAAGGCAGACAAAATATTCAAATATTTATCCAAAATAAAAAAGTACGTGAGTACCAAATGTTGCAGTTAACTATGAATATTTGCTGCCAAGAAAGGACAGCCACATAAGATGTTTCGTAAGATTTCTAAAACAGGAACATGGAGAATTTCAGAAGCAGCCTGATCCTGTGTAGGTCTGACCCCATTCCAACCAGCACCATGGAAATTCTCCAAATAGAATCTAGGAGAAGTGTGTTAAATTTAGAAAAGACATTAGAAAAATTCATTTTAAAAAGATATTAAACCTATTTTTTAGTCTTGGAGTGATGAATTGAGGAAGAAAGGAAATAATTAAAATGTTTTGTCATCTGAATCTTTCATTTTATTAATAACACTAATACAGCCATGCTAATACTGGCTGACTTTCACCCATGTGTTGTTCAGCATTGGTTTTGGCGTCCAGGTCGCCTGGACACATCACATAAAGGATGCGTCAGGTGCAGCCTGTTTCAGAAATATTGCTTATGCCATTTGGGTAAATTCATTAGCCTTGATTTTATCTTGACACTGCAAGTCCCGAACACCTTAAATGTGGTGTGGATTCTCTGTGTGTCCATCCTTTGTTACATCCATAATTAGCAAGTGAAGCCTGTGCCGTGGCGTGCCTCTTTGGGGGTGAGTGGAGGCTGTGGCACAGTTGGAATCAGGCACCTCTGCCGTGGAGCCCAGCTGCGGCTCTGCGGCTGCTCCCGCTGCTGGAGCAGGAGTGAATCGGGAGCAGAACTGGTCAGAATCTGTCTTTTTTCCATAGAAGAACTGTAAAAATAATGCTGAGCTAACATTTAATTTAATTTAATTGAGAGATACATAGTCTTTCATTTTTCAGTGAGAAAAAATTAAATGTTAAGGGGGGGGGGGGTCAGTTATTGAAAACTAAGCAGAAATGTGAAGTTTCTTTCTTACTTTTTGAACTTCAGACCTTGCCATAGGGCTCTGTAGCCAAAGGTGATTAGAATTTGTACAGTATTTGTAAAGGAGAATAGTAATTTCACTCTTGATTTTAATGGATTTGAGTGTTCTTCGTGGTAGGTTTTTTGTTTTCCAAAATCTGAAATTTTTATTAAAACGAGCTTTTGCTTTTATACTAGAGCATACCTCAAGACCTGCCAGCAGTTACAGTCCTCATTTTATTAAAGAGATTTTGATTTTTTTTATGAGATCTGTTGATGACGGTGTCTACATGCATAATCATAGAATCATAGAATCATTATGATTCTCAAAGATCATCAAGTCCAACCATATACCTGATGCCTATATAATGGAAGGCTCTTTCCAGAATTCACTTTTATTGACTTCCAGACTGGAGTCTACAGATGGAAATTTGCTCACCGCAGCCTTGTAGCCAGCCATGGGCAATGCCTCTGCTGAGCCGTCCTCGGTTGACTTGGGAGCCCCTCGCAGGCAACGTTGTGCCCCGAGGGAGTAAGAGGAGAAGAGAAATGATGGCTTACGAGGGTTTCCCGGCAGGCATTTCAGAAACAGCAGTGCAGGCCTGACAAGGAAAAATGATTACTTCAACTAACAAATGAGCAGAAAAGCCTCCCCTAGGCAAAGGTGCCGTTCCCATTTAATGAGCTTTGTAAAAAATAGAAAGAAGGGAATCATACTTCAGCTTTACATTTGCGTCTTGTACTGCGCGTTATAGGGGAGAGCAGGATGGTGGTAGAGGATGGGCACTGTGCCATTATTCCCAAGTGCTGTTCTACTGTACAAAATTATCAGATTCAAAAGCGCAATGGAAATGAGAAAGAAAGATTAGATTTCCCCATAGGGAAGTCCTTTGCTAGTCTAAGGATATTTTAAGGCTTAAGACTTTTTCTTAACCTAATGCATATGAAGTACAGAAAGTATAATGTGCCCCCAAGAAGGAGATCCAGCATTTCATGTTATGACAAACATTCCCTGAGTCACCAGCTGTTTTCATGTCCAAGGGAATGTCCCTGGAGCTTGGTGACTCAGACATGACACCAAGTCCCTGCCGGTGCCCACGCTGTGCCCGTCGCCCTCTGTGACTGCCGGCCCTGGCTCCGGTTTGGCCTCGAAGCAACCAGCTGGGAGAAGCGGAGCGCCAGGCACTGTCTGGCACCCGGGGCACGGCAGCTTGGGCTTGTGTCTGCCCCTCCAGCCTGCGCAGGGCTGGCCTCAGGCTTGGAGAGCCTGGTCAGGAGGCCCCCATACAAAGCAAGAACTGCAAGCAGCCCTAGCTCATGTTCTGCTAAATTTCAGTGTTTCACCTATGGAAAACTCTTGTGTTTGCTATTTACAAAGTATTTGCTTATCTAGCTATTGATGTAATTGTCATTCCACTTTTTGTCTGCATGTTATTGGCTGTACCCAAACCGATCTCCATCTGCTGATGACACCAGACGCTCCAGGGTTCTGGTCCCAGCTTTGCAAATCACTCTAGGCAAATCATTCAGCCTCTCCAAGTCTCAATTTCATGCTTTGTAGGATGGAAACAATAATAACAGTAATCCTGCTTCTCAAGGGCATTGTAAAAACAACTGACGCGAACATTGGAGCTTTAAAGATCAGAAACTCATTTTAAGTATTATTCATTGTAAGTATTCTTGTTGTTATATATTAAGTTTGACACTGGCACATCCTACATATTTGTCTCTGTGTCTCAGCTGATGAAATACCTTTCAAGGACGTTCTTGGCTTTCCTTTTTTGTTTTGTTGCCCATTAAAGTGTCACCATTATTTGCTGAGGATTTGCTTCTGTAAGTCCTTGCTGAATCCTAGCAAGGCATTTCTTGTTGTGCTTGCACCTTGCAGAAAATTTAAAAAATGCTCTCCAAAACAGTGTTTGTCCATCTCTTAGATGTGATAATTTGTCCATGCTTCATAGATGCAAACTGCGTGTAGCAAAGAGTAATAATAAAAAATAAATTGCCTAATAGTTATGTGGTATTTTTCCTTCTTCAGAGTACGGTAATGTAACACAGTGATTACTTGTGCTGAGCTTGGACTTCTCTCTTGTTTGTGATTATAGGGTTATGTGGAGCTGTATGCAGAATTTAAGCCTTTTTCATTGATGCAAATATATGTTGGTGAATAAGGAAAACCCTCGATAAGATGCTCCCAGTGGAACTGAGTCAACTGATTACAAACCTGGGCTTTCCATCAGCTCTCCCAGCTGTTCTCCCAGCTCTTCTCAGATATTCATTTCAGGCCAT